TTTTTCAAAGCATATTTTAAGCCTCAAAAATTAAAAGCTAGTAATCTAAAACCTTAATGTGTATTCATTCCAATAGTTTTAATAAAAAAAAAATTAACCAGCTGTGAACCTACTAGATACTATCTAAGGCCTCCCTAATGCTCGACAAAAGACAAAGTTCAATAAAATGGAGATCTATTGTGCTTTTAAAATTCTGACAACACTTTGTTCAATCCTAAACAATTCAGGAAATTTGGTTCCGGTATTGATAACCCGATGTATTTTCTCCCATTAGCTCGATGCACCATCGGAATCAAGGAGCAACTTTTCAGAAATTTCAACAACAGTATTTCAGAGTAAGTAGTTTCCGGCAATGAGCTGTTAAAACTTCTGTTAGAAACTTAGGTTAGAAATGTATAAAGTATTGGCACAGCAAATTTTCACAATATATGCAACAATTTATATTCTATTATATTTCCACCAATTCCAACGTTGTTTCTCAATAGTACCTCAAGTTGAGGATCATAGCGGTTCTCAACAAAAAGGGCATTTTTCTTTGTATGAAAAAAGGTCGGTTTCTCAAGTTGAGAAAATGCTAGTTCTCAACTTGAACTCCAATATAACTATCCAATTGGTCTCAAACATATCTTTGAAATATTGAAATTGAAATAGTAAAATACCTTATACCTTTTTGATTGAAACGACATACATAGATGAATTTGAATATTAATTTTTCATTTTATTACTCCTTATGTATTGTCCGACAGTAATTTTGCACTGCCTATATATATATGCAACAATTTTCTTTTGCCAATTTTTTATTTTCATACTACAACAAAAACATAAAAATAGAATTTCTAAACTTTGTGCAAAACTCAAGAAAATTCAATACATTTCTCTGCAAATTTAAATTTTTTTTTTAGTCCGAATTTTTAGACCTGTTTTGAGTATGCAGTTTTGTAGCTTATTAAATTTTAGTGTGATAAAGTGCAGGTTTGAAGTAGCTAGGACTTATAGTAGATTTTTGATATTTTCTTCCATACAAAAAAAAAAACCGAAAATAATTTGTATGGAAAAATGCGAAACACCTTCAGCAAAAAAAAACAAACTTGCATTTTTTATACCGAATTTCATTGAAAAGTTGGAAATTTGCACAAGTATTTATTGAATTTTCCTCAGATTCGCACAAAGTTAAGAAATTATGATTTGATGTTTTTTGTTGTAGTGTGAATCTTTTCTTATTAAAAATTAGCGAAAAAAATAAAAATAAAATTTTTTGCATATCTCCTATATATCCTTTAGTCGTGAGTGTACATACATATGTGAACATTTTTATTAATTTTATGCCTGAATGCAGGAAAATTTTACACTGCAGAAAATTACTTAAAAAATAAAAGGAAATTCGAACGAAAATATTTCTGTTTTTTTTTGTTTTTTTTGTAGCAGCTTATTAGACTCTGTTGTTGTGTGTTCATTCTCATCTATAATAGATAATTGGGCAATTCACAAGGTGTTGTGAAGTTATATTTTCCTAACAAAAGTTGTGTTAAAACACGACGGTTGTGAACACCTGTTACGATTATTTATTATATCTCAGCACTTAACCTCACATAACACCGAATAAACATAGGTTGCAGAGTTGTATCGTCATGTGTTATTTTTCTTCACAAAACAATAACAACATTTTTACAACTGTCATGAAATATCATGACTTCACGACAAACACGACAAATACGACACCTTGTGAATTGCCCAAATATACTATTCTAGCAAATGCCCGCTTGCTTCGCGGCGCCTAATAAGATCTTTTGCCTTGGCCAATTCAAAAATAGCGTTTAAAAGCAAAAGCAGTCTGTAAAGTAAACATTTTTAGTTGAATTGAAACGACTACAAAATGGAATCCTCCTCATGCCAAGATTAGTAGCGCTGTGATTCCATATGGAATACTAATCCCTTTCGATGTAATGCGTTTAACCTATGGTCTTATTTCTACCTGCGAGATCTCTGCCAAGCGTGCGTAATATTCTTTTATGAGCCTGCAACTTCAGCATTGGTCCGATGTACCATGTAACCCAATAAAAGTCCTTATACGGAAACTCAAGAGCACAGATGAGCGTTCTCAATTATAGGAAGGCCAAGAATCCTCGCTGCCCCACAGGATGGAAAGTTTCCGCGTACATTGGCTAAATGAGTCGTGTGATCGCATGAATATCGTTCAAATGAAGCCATTGATATACCTACCGTGTTTATTTTTGGACAGATGTGGTCGAATCTTTCCTTGTCAATTCGCCACTTTTAGAATTCATCTTAATATTTATGAATTGGTTTCTTTGAGTCTTACTGCTGTAATAACGGCCGCCTCGAGCAACTTCGTCAATCGGAGGTAGATGCAAGATCATGCTTACACAGCCATCTGAAAAATAAGTTCGTCTAAGATAAACAAGCCCCGTGGGGGTTTCTATATATTTCGGGTGCAGCGTCATCCATCGGGTCCCTTTTCTGTAAAATCTTTGCTTGTCATGAAATGAATACGAATTATTATTATTCCAATCAGATTTTATAAAAATATGGATTTTCTAGATATCTAAACCCCGGGGGGGCCATTTTTAGCTAAGGAATTTTTCATCATACAGATATTCACGCTGCGAACTTGAACGAAATCTGTTAATAAATACGACTTTTATAAGTAACTCTACTCCAGCGCCACCAGCGTGTTTTCTATTAGCCTATAATAGGACCTCCGACAATTTGACTGGGCTCTATTGAGTGGTTTTTGAGTTTAGTCCGAAAAAAAATTCACGCGAAAATTTTGATTCCCCCCATAGTAAGTACATCGAAACCAAAAGCGCAAAGTGAACCAGTTCAGGGAAGATGAAACTCATGATGAGGCTGAATATGTTTCGAATGAAAAAAAAAAAATCATCATGAAAGTAATAAACGTAGTTTTCTTAATAATTTGAAAATAAGGAACCGGGTTTTCAATTTGCTATTTTTTTTTTAATAATACTAGAGAAAATATGTAAAATAAAACCGATTTTTTCTTAACTTGGAAATAAGGAACTGGTTTTTCAAATTGCTCTTTTTTAATTAATACTAGGTTTACATATAAGTAGATTATCCTCATTTTCGAGTTTAATACTTGATCTGTAATTAAAAAAAGAGATTAGAGAAAAAAAAAAAAAAAAAAATAATCTCAGATTAAATCGATAACTTTTCGGTGGCCAACCTAGTTTTGTCGATTATTTTTGCGAAGAGGAAAAATGCCATATGTAAAAGTAAACAAAAATGGACGCTAGCAAGGAAAAGAGATTTGCAAAGGTATTTTTTATAAAATATTAAGTTGAAATATATTTAAATTGCTTAATATAGCAGAAAAAAGTAATCACAGTGGCACAGAGAAGAAACATAACCCTTTGAGATTATATTTATATGTCAACATACCTCTACTCACAAACCAGTTTCCAAAAAAAAGTCGAATAATCGAACACGCTAATTTGTAGTAAAAAGCGTTAAATTTTAGTTTTCCTATTTGATTGAAATCATAAGATTTGTTTATTTATTTATTTGTAGATATATTTATGTTAATTAATTTTACACAAATCTTAAGAGAAAATTTTGCACAATATTATTTGATTTTTTAAACAAGATTTCAGCTTTGACTTTAAAATTTTGATTCATTGTC